CACAGATTCGACTACGAGCTTTTTAACCGCAACAACTTTAATATACGCTATTGGAGCTGGAATTACCGCGGCTGCTGGCACCAGACTTGCCCTCCAATTGATCCTCGTTAAAGGGTTTAGAGTGTACTCATTCCGATTACGGGGCCTCGGATGAGTCCCGTATCGTTATTTTTCGTCACTACCTCCCCGTGCCGGGAGTGGGTAATTTGCGCGCCTGCTGCCTTCCTTGGATGTGGTAGCCGTTTCTCAGGCTCCCTCTCCGGAATCGAACCCTGATTCCCCGTTACCCGTTACAACCATGGTAGGCGCAGAACCTACCATCGACAGTTGATAAGGCAGACATTTGAAAGATGCGTCGCCGGTGCAAGACCGTGCGATCAGCTTAAAGTTATTCAGAGTCACCAAGTTGTACGATGACGAGCAAGCCCGCCACCGATTGGTTTTGATCTAATAAAAGCGCTCCTTCCGTCTCCGGTCGGAGCTCTGTTTGCATGTATTAGCTCTAGAATTACCACAGTTATCCAAGTAAATGTGGTACGATCTAAGGAACCATAACTGATTTAATGAGCCTTTCGCGGTTTCACCTTAATTTGGCTTGTACTGAGACATGCATGGCTTAATCTTTGAGACAAGCATATGACTACTGGCAGGATCAACCAGGGAGCTGTTCGTGTTTTTACGCACGAGACAGTCTCCTTTTTATCGGAAACCAATCTCGACACATATCGACAATTGCGTTTTGGTATAGCGACGCTTTGCGAAAATACGCATGGTCGCCACGCTTTTTGTTTAATGTTGAGAGTTTGAATTTCTGAAATAAAATATAACAGAGTTCAATACCGGACCGACTAGCTCGACACAACGACTGACTGACCGACTTAAGCGACGAGTGACTGCCACCGAGTGTAGAAACACCGCTGCTGCAGTGTGCTGGCACTATTATGGTGTGTCGTCGTCGTCGTAGTCTGTCGCGTCGAGTAACGTAGATCGAGTTAAAACGCCGACCGGCTAAAAGCTTCGAACATTCTCTCCGCCCTTCGCTAGATTGAAAGCGACGTGGGATACTGGAAAGTATATATTCGATACGGCTTTGGTGGTATTCTCGCTCGGACTGAGGAGAGTTGTCGCATAGAATGCAAACGAATTCTCTAAAAGCGAAGTGTTCGTCGACACAATTTGTGTAAATTGTAAATTGTCGTCGAAATACGCTGTAAGAATTGTTTTTCAAATTTTATGGGCGATCGCATGTGGACTGTTTATGCTAAGCACTCACAAAACCCACGATCAAGCTGTGAATAGCTTTTTGTAAAAGTTCAAATGTTTAAACTCGCACAGTTCATCGTCGCCTAGTTAAAGTCTTTATGCCGCTGCGTGAAATATCTGAAAATCGGTAAAATATCGACCAAACACCCACGAGCAACGACGATTACCAAGCTTTGACGGAACAGTCTTACGAGCTGCGGAGAGAACGGACAACTCACTCGAGTCACCATCCTCTCACATATAAGCGCACATTTTCGGCTGTCGCTTCCTAACGTACCTGACCGTATCCACTCGTTGCATTTGCGTTCTGGCCTGCGCCAATTCAGCTCGCACTTCCGTCGGGTTCCTTATGCACCCGATGATAAAAAATTTAAAAATTAATTTTTTTTTTATAATTTAATTAGTTTAACTGAAAACAAAAAAAGTAATTAGGTTTTTAGGATGCCTCGATAAACTTTAGTATCGTAAAGGTGTGGCGACTGACTATAGTGTTTTTCTTAAAGGTGTAGCGACAGGATGGGAAAAAATTTATAAAAATCTGTTTTAACATTAAAATTAAATATATTATAATTGGACATAATGTTAATTAAGAAATTAATAAGTTTTTTCTAATATTTATGTCATTATAACAATAAAAACGAAAAAACGTGGTTATTATAAAGGTGTGGCGACTGCATAAGGATGATAAAGGTGTAGCGACTGACGGGTGATAGAAAAATAAACTTGGTTATTATAAAGGTGTGGCGACTGCATAAGGATAATAAAGGTGTAGCGACAGGATAAATTTTTTTTTTTTAAATTGTTTTATTAGATATTATAATTGGATATAATAGAATTAGATAAAATTTATGCAAAAATAGTAATTGGCAATGATAAAAGACGAAGAAAAATTAGATTTTTATAATTCGGTCACTACACCTTTATTATAGTTATTCAGTCGCTACACCTTTATAATATTTTCGTTTATTTTTCTATCACTCGTCAGTCGCTACACCTTTATTTTCTTCAGTCCGTCGCTACACCTTTATAATATCTACGTTTATTTTTCTATCACTCGTCAGTCGCTACACCTTTATTTTCTTCAGTCCGTCGCTACACCTTTATAATATCTACGTTTATTTTTCTATCACTTGTCAGTCGCTACACCTTTATTTTCTTTAGTTCGTCGCTACACCTTTATAATATCTACGTTTATTTTTCTATCACTTGTCAGTCGCTACACCTTTATTTTCTTTAGTTCGTCGCTACACCTTTATAATATTTTCGTTTATTTTTCTATCACTCGTCAGTCGCTACACCTTTATTTTCTTCAGTCCGTCGCTACACCTTTATAATATCTACGTTTATTTTTCTATCACTTGTCAGTCGCTACACCTTTATTTTCTTTAGTTCGTCGCTACACCTTTATAATATTTTCGTTTATTTTTCTATCACCCGTTAGTCGCTACACCTTTATTTTCTTTAGTCAGTCGCTACACCTTTATAATATTTTCGTTTATTTTTCTATCACCCGTTAGTCGCTACACCTTTATTTTCTTTAGTCAGTCGCTACACCTTTATAATATTTTCGTTTATTTTTCTATCACCCGTTAGTCGCTACACCTTTATTTTCTTTAATCAGTCGCTGCACCTTTATAATATTTTAGTTTATTTTTCTATCACTCGTCAGTCGCTACACCTTTATTATCGGTGGTCAGTCGCTACACCTTTACGACAATTTCGTTACTGAGTCTTCACACTTTTTGCGGTGCATTAGTCCGTGAATATTTTATATACATTTTTACAGTAATTTATATATATATTGTTTAAATATTTGTAATATATATGAACAGATCTGTTTATACAAAACTTAAAATTAATAATAATTGTTAAATTATTTATTAATTTTACTATTTGTTCATGAACATTAGTGTTAGATTATTGTTTCTAAGAGTTTTTAAGGGTGTAACTTTTTCAACTAAAACTGTATTGTATTCAAATTTTTATAGGTAATTGAACTACCCAAATCTAGTTTGTATGTTTTAATTGATAGAATTATACATAATATTTGTTAGTATTTTAACTTTAGGTAGTTTTAGGGGCCCAATGTGAATTTACACGGAAAAATTAAACAGGAAACCGTGTGTCAGGTAAAAATTTGACACATAACGTGGTGATTCGCGAAACTTCTAGGGGCGTAATTAGCGCGTGCGTCGATCTGATTCGCGTTATTTCCAAGGGTGTAATTGGGGCCTAAGTCGCCCTGACACTAATAAATGTAAGAACATACTTATGACGTTCAAAAAAAAAAAAAAAATTACACTTAATTTTTTTTTTTTGAATTTGCAAAAAAGCCAACGGCACGCGGTGTTCCCAAGCGGTCACCCATCCAAGTACTAACCACGCCCGACGTTGCTTAGCTTCGGTGATCGGACGAGGACCGGCGTATTCAACGTGGTATGGCCGTTGCCGTAAAATAATGTGAGCCTTCTGGCAAAAAAACTAAAGAAATGTAACCAAAATACGACTTGTTTACAGTGACAAGTAAACAATTTTGTTGTAAAAAAACAAAAAAAAACAAACAAATGCGGTGCTTATGATTACATAAAGTTATTCTTTTTTTTAAGATTCTTTTTGTGGCCCTGAAAAGGGCCATTTGATTTCAAACGATTTCATCGTTTGTTTGCCTTTCGGGTATTGGATAGTCGATGTTCACTTCTTCCTTTTTGGGGAGGCAGCTTTTTTAGCCTTGGCTGGAGACTTGGCGGTTTTTGGTTTAGGGGCTTTGGGTTTCTTGGTTGGGCCTGCTTTGTTGGATTTCTTGGCTTTAGATGGAGACTTAGCTTTGGCTGCAGCTTTAGCTGTGGCAGCTGTGACTTTCTTTTCAGCTGCTGGCTTTTTAGCTGATTTTGCAACTGTTGCCTTCTTTTCGGTTGCTGTTTTCTTGGAGGCGGCCTTGGGAGAAGCTGCTTTCTTGGCAGCCTTTGCGGGTTTGTCAGCGGTGGTCGCAGCAGCGGCTTTCTTGGCTGGAGACTTCTTGGCTTTGGTGGCTTTCTTCTTATCACCGGCAGCGGATTGTTTGGCAGATCCAGATGTCGCAGACGCCAATTTGAACGATCCAGATGCTCCCTTTCCTTTGGTTTGAACCAAAGCACCACTGACAACGGCGCTCTTCAAGTATTTTTTGATGAAAGGTGCAACTTTTTCGGCATCAACCTTGTAGTTAGCCGCAACATACTTTTTAATGGCCTGGAGAGATGAACCTCCACGTTCTTTGAGACCTTTGATGGCGTTGTTAACCATTTCGGCGGTTGGTGGATGAGACGGTTTGGTGCGTGGATTTTTCGCCTTCTTTTCCTTCTTTACCGGGGATTGTGCGGGTGCCGAAGCTGCAGCGTTGGTACTTTCAGTATCAGCCATGGTAATTGATATTAAACTAGTTAATACAAGTCACAAATATTTTTTAAAACGTTCGTCTTTACTGTACGAGCTAGTAGAGAGATATGATTAAACTTTATTTTTCGGTGGGGATAAGCGCAAAGAGGACGGACGGAAGACTGAACGCCAATGCTCCGTTCTACCACCAGGCCCGGCTTCGAATCTGCTGTCGTCGTGTTCATGCAGTTTTGTTTTTTCGATTTATTTTATATATAGCTTTAAAAAGTCGGTAACTTGTTAATCGGAACTTATAGAATATATTCCGGGCAACAGTTTAAAACAAACCGCGCAATAATAGGTTAATTCGTTTTCAAGTGGTCGAGCTGCAAAAGCGACCATCACCTAGTTTTAGGTTAATACTTCTTGATTTAAACCCCCGTTTTGGCAAGCCAGAGAGGGTGACGACGTCCAAACTGTGAATAGAGTTAGAAGGAACCTTTTAAAAATGTAGTCCACCAGAACTGACACAAAAAAAACAAACTCATTTCGAGTTAAGAGACGTTTTTTGCAACCATGTCTGCTGACAAAAGTCAACGATATTCCGTAGATACCGACCAAGTTTTGCACTGCATTCGACGAATACTACAAAAAAATATTTTTTGTTGCAATTTAGAAATAAAAGAAAATCACTTTATTAATTATTTTAACAAATAACATTTAAATTTTATTTAAAAAAAGTCCAAAATTGTCAGTTACCTTAAGTCCGAAAGGCGACGCTTGTACAGTAGGTACGTTTAACTAGACAGCGTAAATTTAAGAAATAAATTTTACCTTAATTTTAAAATAAATATTAACAACAACAAATTAATGCCTTTTTTAACGTTTGTTATTATGGAATTACCAAAATAATACCCGAAACAGGTAACAACAAATATTTCATATTAAACAAAGTAAGTAAGTAAGTATGTGAGGTAAGTTAATCTTGTTTATTAATATTAAAAAGTAAAAATTTAATATTTAAAATGTACCTGCATTAAGTGCATATATAATAATCCCTATTTTTAAAACTGATTTTTTGAATTATTATTAATATTTTATGACGAGTATATTTTATTATTTAATTTTTAAGTTTTTATATGTAACCATTGAAATAATTTAATCCTTAAATTAATTTGTAGTGTAGTGGAAAATGAAACCAGGAGTATTTCTTTTTTTTATGAAAAAATTTGTGGTTCTGAAAAGAACCGTTTTTTAAATGCGACGAAACATCGGTAACCAATTTACTTGGAACTGGTGTACTTGGTGACGGCTTTGGTACCTTCACTGACGGCGTGCTTGGCGAGTTCACCAGGCAACAAAAGACGCACAGCAGTTTGGATTTCTCTGCTGGTGATGGTGGATCTTTTGTTGTAGTGAGCCAAACGGGAAGCTTCTGCGGCAATTCTTTCGAAAATGTCGTTAACGAAGCTGTTCATGATGCTCATTGCTTTACTGGAAATACCAGTATCGGGATGAACTTGCTTCAACACTTTGTAGATGTAGATTGCGTAACTTTCCTTCCTCCTGCGCTTCTTCTTTTTGTCAGTTTTGGAGATGTTCTTTTGGGCCTTTCCGGCCTTTTTCGCTGCTTTACCGCTCGTTTTTGGTGGCATTGTGAGACACGTTCTTACTTCGAAATCTGGGACTCGAATGAACCAAGCGAGTCAAAAAATTTCCCTTTTATGATAGCGCAACCGAGCTCACAAGCCACGCCCCCTCGCTGTATGCATTTCATTGGTCCCCCGTCTGGTTATAAATAGGCAGCTCGAGCGGTGTGATGCATTTACTGTTTGACAACGCTGTCGTACGCAGTTTGTTAGTGTGTTAACTTACTTAAACAAAAACAACATTCAATATGTCCGGACGTGGTAAAGGAGGAAAAGTTAAGGGAAAGGCAAAGTCTCGTTCCAGCCGTGCTGGATTACAGTTCCCAGTCGGTCGTATTCACCGTCTTCTTCGCAAAGGAAACTATGCCGAGCGTGTAGGAGCTGGTGCACCAGTATACTTGGCTGCAGTTATGGAATACTTGGCTGCTGAAGTACTCGAGTTGGCCGGTAACGCTGCCCGTGACAACAAGAAGACCCGTATTATTCCACGTCATTTGCAATTGGCCATCAGAAACGACGAAGAATTGAACAAATTGCTTTCTGGAGTAACCATTGCTCAAGGTGGTGTTTTGCCCAACATCCAAGCCGTCCTCCTTCCCAAGAAGACCGAAAAGAAACCTTAAATTATTTAAGATGTTTCTTAACGACTCATACAACGGCCCTTATCAGGGCCACAATATAACTCAAAAAATTAAAGAAATACTGAAAAAAATCAAATTTACCATTTACTTGCTCTTATAACAAACCTTTATCATAATTAATAATAACTAATTAACGATAAGATATTAATTTTATTATCTGACACAATAATATTAAATCGATTAAATAATTAACCATTTAAATTAATAATAATAACTTTTGTATAATTTGCACCTAATACATGCACATTTTAATTTATTTAATATTATTATCGAACATAACAAATTTAAGTATTAAAAATAATTTTTATATAATTTGTACCTAATACATGCACCTATTAATTTATTTTAACAATAATGCATGTTGTACGTAGTTTATTAAAAACAAATTAAACGTCGATTTAAATTGGTATGTACCAAGAAGTTTAAATTTAGCGTTTAGGTATCAATAATTAACTAAAATACCATGTTAATTAAAATAGGTTATTTAAAGGAAAGGGACAGATAGTTAGGATTAACGGTAATAATTAACTAAGTTATTCTTTTTCTTTGTGAAAAGTTTTGTGGTTCTTAAAAGAACCGTTTTTTTATGTCGGTTGTCTCCAACGTCCAATCGTCCAATTTCTTGTGCGTTAAGACATTTAACCTCCAAAACCGTACAGGGTGCGGCCTTGACGTTTTAATGCGTATACAACGTCCATGGCGGTGACGGTCTTACGTTTGGCATGTTCGGTGTAGGTGACGGCATCTCTGATAACGTTTTCAAGGAAGACCTTCAGGACACCACGGGTTTCTTCGTAGATCAATCCGGAGATACGTTTCACACCTCCACGACGGGCCAATCTTCTGATTGCAGGCTTGGTGATACCCTGGATGTTATCACGCAATAGAAAAAGAGTATAAAAAAAGAGTATAAAAAAAGAGTATAAAAAAAGAGTATAAAAAAAGAGTATAAAAAAAGAGTATAAAAAAAGAGTATAAAAAAAGAGTATAAAAAAAGAGTATAAAAAAAGAGTATAAAAAAGAGTATAAAAAAAGAGTATAAAAAAAGAGTATAAAAAAAGAGTATAAAAAAAGAGTATAAAAAAAGAGTATAAAAAAAGAGTATAAAAAAAGAGTATAAAAAAAGAGTATAAAAAAAGAGTATAAAAAAAGAGTATAAAAAAAGAGTATAAAAAAAGAGTATAAAAAAAGAGTATAAAAAAAGAGTATAAAAAAAGAGTATAAAAAAAGAGTATAAAAAAAGAGTATAAAAAAAGAGTATAAAAAAAGAGTATAAAAAAAGAGTATAAAAAAAGAGTATAAAAAAAGAGTATAAAAAAAGAGTATAAAAAAAGAGTATAAAAAAAGAGTATAAAAAAAGAGTATAAAAAAAGAGTATAAAAAAAGAGTATAAAAAAAGAGTATAAAAAAAGAGTATAAAAAAAGAGTATAAAAAAAGAGTATAAAAAAAGAGTATAAAAAAAGAGTATAAAAAAAGAGTATAAAAAAAGAGTATAAAAAAAGAGTATAAAAAAAGAGTATAAAAAAAGAGTATAAAAAAAGAGTATAAAAAAAGAGTATAAAAAAAGAGTATAAAAAAAGAGTATAAAAAAAGAGTATAAAAAAAGAGTATAAAAAAAGAGTATAAAAAAAGAGTATAAAAAAAGAGTATAAAAAAAGAGTATAAAAAAAGAGTATAAAAAAAGAGTATAAAAAAAGAGTATAAAAAAAGAGTATAAAAAAAGAGTATAAAAAAAGAGTATAAAAAAAGAGTATAAAAAAAGAGTATAAAAAAAGAGTATAAAAAAAGAGTATAAAAAAAGAGTATAAAAAAAGTGGAAAAAAAAAGTGGAAAAAAAAAGTGGAAAAAAAAAGTGGAAAAAAAAAGAGTATAAAAAAAGTGGAAAAAAAAAGTGGAAAAAAAAAGTGGAAAAAAAAAGTGGAAAAAAAAAGTGGAAAAAAAAAGTGGAAAAAAAAAGTGGAAAAAAAAAGTGGAAAAAAAAAGTGGAAAAAAAAAGTGGAAAAAAAAAGTGGAAAAAAAAAGTGGAAAAAAAAAGTGGAAAAAAAAAGTGGAAAAAAAAAGTGGAAAAAAAAAGTGGAAAAAAAAAGTGGAAAAAAAAGTGGAAAAAAAAAGTGGAAAAAAAAAGTGGAAAAAAAAAGTGGAAAAAAAAAGTGGAAAAAAAAAGTGGAAAAAAAAAGTGGAAAAAAAAAGTGGAAAAAAAAAGTGGAAAAAAAAAGTGGAAAAAAAAAGTGGAAAAAAAAAGTGGAAAAAAAAAGTGGAAAAAAAAAGTGGAAAAAAAAAGTGGAAAAAAAAAGTGGAAAAAAAAAGTGGAAAAAAAAAGTGGAAAAAAAAAGTGGAAAAAAAAAGTGGAAAAAAAAGTGGAAAAAAAAAGTGGAAAAAAAAAGTGGAAAAAAAAAGTGGAAAAAAAAAGTGGAAAAAAAAAGTGGAAAAAAAAAGTGGAAAAAAAAAGTGGAAAAAAAAAGTGGAAAAAAAAAGTGGAAAAAAAAAGTGGAAAAAAAAAGATTTTTTAGTAGGGATGATGTACTACTTTTTTTAAATTGGCGATTCCATGATTACTAACAGAACCAACAGAAAGAAAACAAAATATTTTATGAAAATTTTTGAAGAGTGATATTCCTATAATAATAATTTTTTGATAGTTCTCAGCAATAAGTTAAGGAATAATAACCATCATAAATTTATTGTTATAGGAACAGAACAACATATCTCCAAAAATATTCATAAAACATTTTATATTCTATTTTTTTGTTCCGTTAGTAATCATGAAATGGAAATATCAAATTTACAAAAAAACTAGGTTAATGTAAAAAAATTGTTGGGTTGCGCTTTTGGTTACTGAATGATTTATTAGATTATAAGATACTAAAAAACAATTAAATTTGAACTAATGTAATGTCTGTCATGTCTGAGAAACTCTTAAAAATATCCTCCTTTAACTTCTCGCGTTTTTTCTAAATAAATTTCGTTCACTTGATAAAGAAATTAAAATTATTTTTTAGGATTGTATAATTTAATAATTTATAATTCCGTAAGTTTTTAACATAGATTTTAATTAAATAAAAAGTACGTTATCCCTAATAAAAATTTAAAGTTACCTCCGCCCCTCAAAATAGAGAAAGGGGGTAGTAGTCAAAAATATGTACCCTCACCTTTGTTAGCAAAAACAGTTTTAGAAATATCCCCTTATAACACTTTAAAAACCGGAATGTTAAGGTTATTATTATCTAGAATAGCTTTACCTTATAAATACAAAATAGCTGATTAGTCAATTTAAATAGCTTTGGACAACCGAGGTTAAATCTAATTATTATTATACAAAAATATTTTAAACTGCTCAACTTGACAACGATCTTGTATTAATTAAAATAATTCAAATAAAGTCTATAATAATAATAATACAGCATGTTCAAGGCAAAACCGAATATAGGGAAATGTATGGGGCGTGGCCTCGCCTCCCTCCAACGCGCGACACAGTAGCTAAGCAAATAGCCTGCATCGCTAATGAGATTTTTTGCATTATTATCATTTAATTTTTAAGATCGTGTTACCTGCTCGACCTCTCGTCATGTCGCTTATCACACAAGCTATTGTGAAGCGCCTTGGAGGGAGGCGAGGCCATGCCTAAAACGTTTACCTATATTCGGTTTTATTTGCCAATAAGATCATATACAATGACATAAGCATGGTCAGGAAAAGAACAAAATAAAAACGGGCGTGTGGTTTACACCCAAAATATTAGTCTGTTGTCGACTTTCTGCTGTTCGGCCAGTTAGTTTTCCGCCTACTAAAATCAACAACCCCGTTACCACCAGGAGACGATATTTAGTACTACCAACTTTACTTTTAAACTGTGTTGGTAATACCCCAATCTTGCTGTACTCAAACTAACAATCTTTAACGCTAAGACTCGATATAACTAAGAATTTAAACACAGTTGACAGATATAACTTCGTCAATGTCATCTTATTCTGTTGATATGAGTTAAATCAAGTGCGCATAGTTAGTTGTCGGCTTTTTATTACGAGCATCAAAAGTCGGGCCACCACAGAGAAAAAAAAAGTATACACTTTGTACACACTTCAATACAACTTAAAAACAATCACTTTTCACTATTTGTCACTTATTTTTTCCCAGCGCGTTAATCCATAAACTGACTTTATGTCAACACACGACTTGCGTACTGATGTTATCTTAAAAAACTGTTCTACTTAGTCAATAATGCCAATTGACAATATTGTCCAGCAAGGACCACGAGGAGGTGAGAACATTTCCTTGCCAGGATGGGATTAAAAGGAAATGGGACAGGATTTATTAGGTGCGCACCCATAAAGAAGATACGTAAATTTAATATTTTAAATTTCCGTTGTAACATTTTAACTAAAAAAACGATAAATATAACTTAATTTTACATCACAAGTATTAAAAAAGTAAAAAGAATTAAATGAAGGGTTGGAATCACATACTATAAGGGAGATAAGAGATACATTTTAACATTGTCACCGGCTAGCCGGTGCTCGGCGGTAATACAGATTCCCTCAATAGATGTCGCTTTATACAAATATTTAATTTAAATCATAAGTATTTGTCGTAGAAAGGGTATAGTATGCAATACGTTTATAAACTTTTCTAGACACTCATTTAGTTACAATTAAATTCGTAACTAAAATGACGTTTATTAAACTTAACACATAATATGCTTATATTTGATATTTATTAATATCAAAATACTTCCTTAAAAATATTAAGTTTATTTAGAAATTCTAAATGTTATAAAATAGTTTTAAACTAAGTAACCTTATCATAAAATATATAAAACTTATTTGATTATACTTAAAACAAAACAATGTACAATACGCTTGTATATTAATTAAAGTAAAAAACATTAAATAGCATTTATATAATAAGAAGTCTGCACACTTTAACACCTTAAAAGGTACATTACAGATTCCAATTGAAATTGTTATAAATTTGACAATGTCAAAATTTAGTATATAGTTAGGTATATATGTAAATATAGAAGTTTTAAATATAAATTAAAAATTATAAAAACATTACAACAGCAGATATTGGGTTTTTAATT